GGCAAAACTAGCCAAAAAGCAACAAAAACAGCACTGGCGGTATAGTCGATGCTAATAACATTTCTGCAAGAGGTTATGTGCGTGATATCAGGCTTAAATGCCTGCAGGCTGGCTCCAAAATTACTTTAACACCATACAGACACCAAATACGTTCAAAAACAGAGATGCCATACGTTATAATCTAAGAATATTCCAAAAAATATTTTCAGCCTAAAATAGACAGAAAAATAAGAATATTCAGCCTCGGTCGGAAAAACAAAATTCGTATAAAAAGAGTGCAGTTTTAATTTGTCAGTGACACACCTTTAGATTTTGCTTGGTAAGTTTCCATTTGTTTCCGTGAGGGTACATTACTGCATAATATCGTTCAATAGCGATGGCAACCAGAGTGACAAATGAAGAGGTTGCTCCAACCCACGCGACATTCCCGTCTGTCAGTAATTTGCACAAAACTGTACCAGTCATCCCGTCTGGGTGGGTTGAAGTAAGCTTGAGAAATATCCTTGGAGCCATAAACGCTGCGTACAAAATATCCGCTACAGCCAGGTTCACAAGTAGATAATTGATGGGAGTCCTTTGAAATGAGATGCAGAAAAGAAATTATAAGGATCGGAAGGCGTAAAGATACGTTATTAAATCACGCGCTTTTGCAAGAACCTTTAGAAGTGGATATATACTACTATACTTTCTTTTTCACCTATTTGCCTATCTGTGCATTTCTTTGTTGCTCAAAACTGCACCAGCTATTACAATTCAGGGAAATATCTAATGACAAAAGAATAGTCAATGGCATTCCGTGAAGGATTCTACAGTAGCCCCTTCCGCACTACGCCGGAGAAAGAAGAAAACGCATTTTTAATTCTACAGTTAGGTCTACCGTCCACACTAATCCGTCAGGACAACTTAGCTTGCTTTTCGAAAACGCTCGATCCTCAAACCGGAGGAATTTGAAAACGCCGGCCTTGCATTTACTGTTAACGGACATGTTTCGAAAGCGATAACGTCACGATAATCATGCAATTTCCCAAGTTTTCCTCAAACACAAATCTGAGATGACCGGCGATTGTTGCGTTTCAAAATTTCTCCGGCGTGTTATGGGCACGGCCTGTTACACCAAACAAGACTCAGTCTTTTGCCAGGAAAAAGCTCAACTACCAAGAATGCGGAACTAGAGGATGATCGTGTCTTGTATCGACATGCACGGGTATCTCTTCGAATTCGTTGATGAAGGTGGCGTAAAATAACTGTGAATTAGCCAAAACCGGGAAAAAATGTCCAATATGATTAGGTTTTGTTGATTATACTCTTGTGTGCCTTCAATATTTCAACTTCGTAGCCGGAATAATTTTTCAAGGCTGTTAGTAAATACCCGAGCGAAGAATCTACTCCCTGTATACTACTTATTCAATCTGGATCGTTTTTTATATACATTCGGGCCAAAGAACTGTGAAAAATCGCCCTTACAAATTTCCTGACCGTTCTGATTCGTACCTTTTCAGTGTTCATTGTTATATACCTGAGCTAAAAAGCTTTTTAATCTTACAACAAATAAATATCAACGAAATCTGCCATTTGAACTCCCATAAACTCTACCTCACCAGCACTTCCTCAACCCTTCTGTTATTTCCGTTTGGAGCAGAGAACCTTCTCTTAGATAATGCATTTATTCGGTAATTGTTCGCTTTCACGCCTTTATTTAACCAAGTAGAATACCATTATTTATAACACGCATTTCATATTCGACATACCTCATAACTCGATTCCGCTTGATGATTGCACAAACGAGAGAGTTTCCCACAATATCTACAATTGCGAGTAGGGTGAGTACGGTTGTTATGGCAACATCAGCTGACTGAAGCATGATCGAAGAGTACCAGTGTAATTCCGTGATCTGCATAAAACCAGGACAGGAATGCGTGAAGCCTTTCTAGATTGATAATCACTAGTGAAGGTTTACAAAAATTAAACGATAGATTTACAATAAGTAATAGCTACGTTGCTTAGACGAACTCAGAATCTCATTTATATACATTCCACAAGTTCCGCAGTCACTGGTATCGCCTTGGAAAGGGAAGAAAAAAAAAAAGGAAACGAAAAAAAGAAGTTATTACAACACTGGGTATCCGTATTTGGTCACCCAGCCAAGTATTTACCAGCGCGTGGGTTTCCCTCCCTATTCAGCAAATTTAGGAATACAACGTCTTCCCGTGATAACAGGCCAATAAAACAGCACATAGTAAATTCTACGGGAATAAAAGCGTGACTTGCAATTGACATAAAGAGTGAAACTTACTATTTCTTAAGGGAGTTGTTTGCCGGTCCTGAAATAACGTTTTGCAACCGAACCCAAACTTCAAATGGTTGGTATTTCCTTGCACTAGCGCGTGCTCGCGAAATTGTGCAACACATGACCCGCGCACATGTAAACATGAAATGTAAAAAGAAAAATGGTACATTTCAGGTTTATTACCCTCCTGTCATCGTATGTTGATCCTATGTATTCGTATGTAGCCAATGTATTCGTATTCAATCTGTATGTTACTCGTATGATATGTACTCGTATCGTACTCATATGCTACTCGTATGTCACCCGTATGTTATCGTATGTATCCGTATGTTACCCGTATGTACTCGTGTGGTGTTTTAGTCACGATCCTTCTTAGTTTCACTTGGTTTACGCCGGTTTCGCTAAGTTTATTGACTTGCTGTTGCTGGTGTGACTGAGTTGACATCTCGTCTGCGCGCCCTGCAGAGCTCCACAAATTTGCCACATGTTCGTCATTTTGATGCTAAACAAATAAAGTTACCTGTATTTGGCAGCGCGCGTCCGAAATTTACAGCTAAAGTCAGAGTCTCTCAATGCAAATTAACTTGTTTTGCGGTCATCTTGAAAACCGTCTCGCAAAAAATGAAAAAAAAATTCAAATTGATCCAAATAAATGTGATATTTGTACTTTGGATATATAATGGCTAACTTTCACTAAAAAAATGAGGCTAGTCGGCGAAGGTCCGAAATTTGCCTTATCCGTAGCCGGGCTCTTACGCTGCCGTAAACGGACGCTTAAAAGGAATAGAGCCTGACCTTGAAAGATGTGTTACTGCTTTTTCGTTGTAGTGAGACTGTTAATGCTAATATGTTAATATTAGCTGCAATTATGATTTGTTTTTTAATCACTAAGGGCCAGTCCTAATACTACAGTATACAGCACTGGGTATATTCAGTTATCGCCATTATCGCGGCATTGCATAAGACAATAAAACAAAAAAATAATATTTATAATTTGGTGGTATTAAGCATTCCCAATATTTATTGTAAGCTGGGCAAATTCCCATAGGTTGTCATCTTTCCCTTACTTCTCTAGTGGCCGCTTTCGAGAACTATTCTCATAAGCCGCCAGCTCCAGTTACGAAAAACATCTTCGCGTCCCGAGAGTGTCCGCTTACGAAGGATTTCCCCCTACTTATTTTCCGTTACAGACAACAAATACAGCAATGCACTTTTGAAAAATATGGAATTTACCTGATGCTGTAGGAAATTTTCTTCTTTGATCTTTTTCTCGGGAGCAGTTCAGGCAACCAGTCTAAGGTGTTGGACGAGCGAAAGAGGCCGAAAAAAACACCATTTTACTGACAATGGATAAACAACCAGCATTGGCTATCAGGCGTTTTTCTCCTGCTCAGCAGGTGTTATAAAAATTAGTTTTCGATTGGTTAATCCTGATCGTAAACGACAAGCTAAACCTTGTTTGGACACAAATAAAGCGCTTGGACTGACAACTAAACGTCAGGAATTGAGGTATACTTTGAAAGCTGCCAGTTCGACTTCGTGAACTAGTTAACCTTCTTCACATATAAACACTTCCTAGAGATAAAAGATAAGAACTTTATTAACGTGTCGAAGTCGCTAACATACAATGTATACCAATTGGGGACGCCTAACTACGATTACTTATCTAATAATTAATAAAATATGAAATGCAAGTACGTATGTAACTGTTTTAAAATATATATATATGTATAAAACAAACAATCTGTCATGCAGTAAGATCAAGTGTTAGTTGTTACATAAAGAACAGTCTCTACAAGTACTGTCCAGCGGGCTTGTGAAATCAACTAATTTGATGCGCTTTTTAAAAGTGTGCAATGATTCAGAAAATCGAATAGATTTGTCGAGTTTGGACCAAATGACAGAGCCTAAGTAAGTCAGGCTATGTTTGCCATGAGCAACAGTCCGAAATCTGGGTACGGTGAAATCAGAATTTCTAAGGTGATACTGAGAATTGGTAAGAACAAATAATTCCGCAATGTAAGAAGGGGCCAGACCATTTTTGACTTTACACATTGATGCGTAAACCTTTTTTGCCACTAAAATCACAGGATAAATATGTCTCTTTGAACATACGTGACAGCTCTCTCTCTCGCAGCCATCTTGATGTCGTGTGCTGGTGTAACACGTGACCTCGGAAATTCAAAATGCTCCACTTTCAAATTACGATGCTATCCAGCTGAAAACTAAGAAGATAATATACATTTTGGCAGTCTTGAAGTTAATGACGTTAAAAACTTGGGAGGTCTTTCGATTGTTGATTTTAGAATTTGAAAACAGATCTTTTCCTCTAATTGTTTTGCTGCAATTAAAATGTATATTCATTCAAAATGGCTTTTAGTCTATTTCTAGCTGTTCGCAGCAATTTAGTGATGGAAAATGATGACTCCAAAAACGGTTAATTGGTAACTGGACCTTGCATAACCCATTCAGCTGTATTGCTTATGAAAAGACATGATGCTGTGCAAAATAAAATTATTTGACACTTTTCGTAATTTCTAGAAATCAAGCATTCAGCTTCTTGTCCAAGTTATAGTTTTTGAGTAATAACCCACAGCAAAAAAAAAAAAAGTAAAAGAAGGAAAACTAAAAAGGGACTTAACTTGTAGGCTCGATTTCCGCCGCTTTCTCGAGTCCGGTCTACGTTCCTCCCCGAGAGTTCGGGGGAGGAGCGCGGGCTCTTTTCCCGAACAGCGGCTGGTAATCGAGCCTACTTAACTCGCGGGACATACATTTTGTAATGGACAAACAATTTCTTTGTCAAATTGACAAGTTCTTGTCAGCAACCAATCCTGTTAAAAGGTTACCATTTTTTATTCAGTTTTTCGGTTCACCAAGCTAGTAAAATGCAGAATTTCTACATATGTTTTGTTTTAAGCGAACTATATACCTAGTAATTTCAAGCTGCAGAGTTTGAAAAGTAAGAATCCAAAGTTTGTAATGTTTGTAAATGTAAAATGTAAATCTTATTTATAGTGGTCATGCACTTAGCTATACAAGCGCTAAGCTCAGCTAGTTTAAAAGCAAACGTTTGGTGTAAAAATTTCTTTTACGTACACACGGTTTACGTTGTGTTATTTTGCACTAAAAGTTTACAGATTAATTAGTTTTACGGTATTCGGATACGCTCATCGACTGATCGGGGATTAAGAAGGCGAAAAATGCCCGTTCTATTTCTTGGAAAAATCGTTCATACCGCAAGAAAACATTGCAAATTTTTAACAGTATTTGGAGTCAAAGTGTTCACTCTAGATCTTAGATTCAAAATCTCCGAGGAGACGGCCACACGGGAACTTTTTTTTTAAAGGAAAAAAAAAAAGCATTACCAAAGTATCACGAGTCCGTGGAAAAAATCTTCGAGAGTAAAGGCAGTCTTAGTGCAGTTCTTTCGACAACCAGGACAGAGGGGAATATTTTCCGAAGAGTACTCTCAACCTTCTTTTCGATATAATTAACGATAAAAGTCAAATTCTGACCGTATATTTATCTGTGTATGGTAATAAAGTTGAAGATCGGTAGAAAATCTAAACACCACAGGGTGGGCTAACAAAAGTGAACTCGATTAAATTATGGAGTGGGTTTTCAACTTGCATGAGGATTTATTCACAATTTTCATCGTCTCTGGCATACTTGTTTGTCTTCATTTATTCTTTGTAAAATCTCTTACAAGCAGTTTTTACAAACATTTTCTCTTAGAAATCATTTCTTTTACCTCTTATCAATTTGAATACTCTTCTTTCGGGCTTGGTTACTGATTAAGGGTTACTTAATTAAAAAGAGCAATGTCTACCATTTATAATTATTTTTTTCATATTTTCCTTTTTAGAAGCATTACAAAACATTTCATTGAAAGTTTCTCTTCAACATGATCAAAGGAGGTAGTTTCTCAGTTAATATTTATTCCGTCCGCGTTTTCAGGTTAATTAAAATTTGGACTACAGATCTATATTTATCATATTAAAAACGCGGAGCAGCTGCAACATGGAATCCTTTTCAGTCTATACAACATGGAAATACGGCAGTCACTCGCTTAAATATTTTACTTTTTAATTTTTGCCCTGAAAAGATTAGCCTCGAAAACTTTTTCCTGCGTTAACAAGACGGATTAATTTCTGGAGCTGTAATTTAAAGAATAAAAAAAAAGTGCAATATAAACTTCAAACTTCAACAAATCTCGACATCTTGAAAGTCCCAGTAGACAAGGCAAGTCCCTCAATGAGAACGGGATAAGTTACAAGTTGGATATTTATGCATTTCTTAACCTTCCACGAGTTCCTGATGGCAAAAAATTGTAGCTTGAAGAACTCAGATCACTGATCCGTTAGTAATTCCACATAAATATCTCGTATCGAAGAGTCTACGAGTTCTTGGGTCAGTGGTTTATCGCTTCCATGCAGTAATTCTGTTGGTGGACTCTTTATAGCCATGTATAGCTCTACGAAACAACACTTAGCCTCCCTCAGCTTCAAGAACATGGGTTGTTTGTGTTTTGTATAATTTACATATCTTCGTTTTGCCTGTATTTGGTCAAACATCAGTGTTTGTTTCAGCAGCTGATAAATTTGTCCCCATCAACAAACATTTTACATAAAATAAGTAACATATTTTATATGAAAAAGAAAAAAAAACAAAACAAAACAAAAAATACAAAACGATATTGACAGACAGACAGACAGACATGCGTAGGCGCTCTTGTTATTCTTATAATGTTTTGAAAGTGGAAGTCCACTAATTTTAGGATAAATGTCATCTAAATTCATTTAAATTCTATCCGTTCTTAGTTCTAAACTCGAACAGCCCAAAAACTTAGATTAAAACTAACACATCACTGCTTGGAACTTGTTCCCACGGTCGGTTGAGTGGTGGTCTCCGCAAGCTGCGTGTCCTGAAGATCGGGATGAACCCTGGCCGCTAAAGAACAACAAATCATTCTCTTGATCTTCTCCCTGAACTGGTGGTTCAACAGAGCGTACACAAACGGGTTGACAGCAGAATTGAACAGAATCATGACGTCAGAAATTGCGAGCAAGACGGCGCCAATGTCGTCGGATATAAAGTACAGTAGGACGTAAACAAGTTGGCCTGTGCCCCAACAGACTCCAAATATGGCAGTGACAGCTACGACCATCAAGGTGACGCGCTTCCGCACCTTCATGACGCCCTGCGGATGGAGAAATAAAATCTGATCAAGACGGCATATGATCAACACTGAGGCTAATTTAGAGGAACCAAATCCGATTGACTAGTAATATAAAATCTAATCAACAAAGCTACTTTAATTTGGATGGTCCGGTACCAGCTGCTACAAGCTATTACTTTTGTGTTTAGGTAAAAAAAAAAGAAAACACACAAAAACACAATCGACTTAGCGAAAGTACTAGTTAATGTACTGCAATAGCTGCAGAAACCATCAACGGACTGCAAGAGGGAAAAAGAAATACAAACATCAGAAAATTCCATTATAATCCTTGAGCGGAAGGAATTTTGCGTCACAAAACTTGGCTTTAAATGGATTTTGCGCCAAAAAAAAAA